GGAGTACTTCCTAGTGGCCAGAGTGTCGACCAGAGCTTGCAGCGGGCGAGTCTTGATACCCTAGCACTGACAAGGGACTTGACATCGTATCCGTTGGGTTTCGATCGACAATCGAAAGAGAGTTTCGCAACTTTCGTCGTGGAAAACAAGAGCTAAACGTGCCCCGTTCGCAGTCACATCATCACTTTCTCTTCACCCGATACCTTTCTGACTCATTTGTATCGCTCTAAGAATGTAAACCAAATTGCTTCTTCATTGCCCTTCCTTTTCTCTTTCTCTCGAACCCTGCATCTTTACCCCAGCACCCTTAGCGTGGCTAGCTTAGCTTTTCATCTGTTACCACGTTTATTCCTACACCCTTCTCATTCCTGCCATCGAGACGTGTCTCATTTGGGCAAATTGATTGGTTATTCTTTATTTATTGGCTAGTATTAACAGCTCTGACGAGCAATTGTGGAGTCTCAAGGTTTTATGTTTAAAGCGTTGGGCATCAGTATGTTAGAGTCAAATTGAAATAGACATGGATGCTGTCCATCACCCTGACTCGCATCCTCTTCTCGAAATTGCCGCCACATGTTCAATCTGGCTTTAAGTATCTCGCCTTCACGGCCATGGCAACTCCAACGCAAGTTCTCAAATGTGACTCAGAGTCGATCGCTTTCTCCGGCGACGAACCGATATACTCTGATCCAGAGACTGAGAATGCCATCAAATCCGCTGTTCAGCATTTGACGGAACGTCGCGTCGTCGCTTTTCCAACAGAGACCGTCTATGGTCTCGGTGCTCTTGCTCTCGATGCATCTGCAGCCACCAAAATATTTTCCACCAAAGGTCGACCATCCGACAACCCGCTGATCGTGCATATATCCTCCCTCTCAATGCTCGATTCCCTTCTCCCGCCATCTTACACCCCTTCTCCCGCCTACAAAACGCTAATGCGCGCATTCTGGCCCGGCCCTCTCACCCTTCTCTTCCCCGTGGACCCGTCCTGCGTCCCACCCATCATCACGGCCGGTCATCCAACCGTCGCCGTGCGCATGCCCGCGCATCCGGTAGCCCGCGCCCTCATCGCCACACTAGGCACCCCGCTCGCCGCGCCCAGCGCGAACGCCTCGGGAAAACCGAGCCCGACGCGCGCCGCGCATGTACTACGAGATCTCGGCAGTACTGGCCGTCTCCCGCTTCTCCTCGATGGTGGCACGTGCGCCGTCGGCCTCGAGAGTACCGTTGTTGATGGGCTTGGAGAGGACGGCGCGCTGCGCGTGCTGAGGCCTGGTGGTGTGACAGTCGAGGCTCTCGTTGCGGCGCTCGGGGATTTGGATGGGCGGGATGGGTCGCAGCGGCCGCGTGTGCTCGTACACCAGCGCGACTTTGTCCTGGGGAACCATGAGGTGAACGCGCCGACTACGCCTGGGATGAAGTATCGCCATTATGCGCCCGGCGTGCCCGTCACGCTGCTTTACACGACTACGACGACGCCGCTGGAGATCAATGGCGATGGCGATGGTGGCGGTGGTGACGGTGGGAGCACAATACGGCGCGTGGAAATGGATGCGTTCTTTCGAGAGGTTCAGCGTGGTACGTCTGGTCGGTTTGGTCTCATGGCACAGGACGAGTCGCCGCTGCTGTCCCGGGCGCGGCGTGAGGAGTCGCGGTGGGTCGCGTTCTCACTTGGGGGGAACGCGGAGCCCGCACGCGCTGCGCAGCGGCTGTTCGAAGGCCTGCTTAGTCTTGAGGAACAATGCGTCGAGCGTATATTCGTGCAGGAGGTCGCGGAGGAGCGGGAAGGCTTGGCATTCATGAACCGGATCAAGAAGGCGGCGGGGACGTCATTGCGGATCGTAGATATATAGGTACGTCTCGAATGCCCTGAAGGCCTACATGTAACTCACGAACTATTCGTTTAGACAATATTCCTGTAGAAACTAATCGAATCCTAGACTTGGATGGTGGGATGTAACAGTGCCCGCGAGGCGACGGCGCCCGATCGTCTTATCCGTATCTCGTGATAACCTCATGGCCTAGCCGCCTGGGCACTGGTTGGCGACGGCCTTTGTTGACAGATCTTTCCCCGTACCCTTGGGTCTTATGATTAAGATAGTGAATTCGCTGTGGGCTCCTTACTACGAAGTTTACAGTAACGCGACACAAGGAGCTGGGCCTGTGGCCCCTAACAAAAGCTTTCCTCATCTCTTTGAACCACGCTTTTCGCATGAGAGGTCGCATCTACCTCGTGTCTATTCTAGGGCGTGCGGATGCGTTTTGATTGGTGCGTTTACAATGCACGTGTACGCCGTGCTGCTTGCGCATTTCAGCATGGAGGACCCTTATTTATCAGAGCCAACGGGATCCCCAAGGCTCTTGCAAGTTCATCTGCCAGATTCCGGTCCCTTTAGAGATTCTTGCTTGTTCATGCCACCTCCTTGGTCGTCGGTGTACTTTTGGGTACGCGTCGCGCGAGGTCAGGTTGATTCTTCCTTTCATCCTCGCTACACCCGTTCAGGGTCATGGGGATTGTCGTAACAGGAGCAACTGATACAGGTATGTCTTTTACACGCACGTTTTCCCCTTGGGCTGCGCTATTCGAGGAACAGCCCTCTTAGAGGAATGTCTGCCAAGTTAGTACAATAATCCTCTCTACAAGGCTGAGACAGCATGGAAGTCTTGCAACTACCTCTCACAGCGTAATCGACGTGACATCCAATTTCGATCGGTGCATGAACCTTTTCAGGTATTTCAGTCTTCATTGCTCTTGCTCGTCCCGTCGCTGTGTCCACGCTGAAAATATCTTGCCGTAGGATCTGCTCATTTCCTGTGCGTCATGCACGACAGTACCACAAGCGCTTGTATCTCACAAAGCGGAGTGACCACGCCTTCTTCCTCTGGGGCCTGGGCATAATCTCCCTTTCTTTGAAGCAGGTCTCCGATCTGTCTTGAAAGACATCGTGATGCCATGGGCGAGCCATGAAGTTTCATATCCGACTTTCTTTCATACTCTCCCCGATCTTTTGCATAAAAGAAAAGATGGCTCTGTATTCCCCCATCGTCCATCCCATCCTTCCCTTTCATCTTTAGTCCTCAACTCGGGAACATGAACCCACCAATGTCGTCGCATTTTGGTTCTTGTTCTTCATTCCTCCCCCCTGCTCCGAACCCTGCCTTATCTGCAAGTCTCCAATTTCCATCCCCTTTCATTCTTAGTACCGAATTCCCTTACAATATATCCCTTTCGTGCGACACCCGCTGGCCGGGTTCTCAAGTTCCATCTTTTGTCCAGAGCTACCCCAATCTAACGGATACGATGCCAAGTATTCCGGCCCAGCGAGAGGCGCAAGCGCAACTCCCTTTCCAAACCGCCGACCTTAGTCTTTCACTCCTCGCCAATGCCAGTGGACTGGTGTTCGACCACCAACCTCATGATTCCCTCTTTCCGCACTCCCAGCAACCCCCATTTCCTAACAACGATTTCGAGGCAGATCCGAAAGAAAAACAGCGCCCCCGCCCCTCCAACGCCTTCATTCTTTTCCGTTCCGACTTTCTAAAACGGAAGCTTGTCTCCAAAGGTCAGGAGACCCGCCAGCACAAGCTCAGCATCATCGCTGCGAAATGCTGGAACAAGCTTACGCGGGAAGAAAAAAAGAAATGGTTCCTGGAGGCAGAACGGGAGAAGAAAGCGCACGCGCTCAAGTATGCCGACCACCAGCCTCAGCCACGCGCACGCGCGAGGACGAGGCGCGAGTCAAGAATCATGGCGTCGCCCAGGGAGCTCGAGCATCTTGGTCGCTTGGCCGATATGGCATACCAGGAGATTATCAACGATACTCCTTCAAGTTCCCAACTTTCGCGTGAGAGCGCAACTTCTCTGTCCGCCTCAACGACTACCGCCCTCGCATCCGGATCCCCCACGCCTCCTACTCAGGTCAAGGGGACGGACTTATCTGCCCTAGACTGTTATCAAGAGCAGGAACAACCTTCTCAGCAACCGCTGTTCTCCTCTCCCGCTGGGAAAGTGGGAGAGCTTTCTTTGCCGCAGAGTTACCAGCCTCTTCGGACAGCGAGCGCCAGCGACTTCAGTACTTTCCAAGACGGTGGCATGTTCCCTACGGTAAGTCACTTTTACGGCTGCCTCCCATCGTCTGGTACGTTTCCTTACTCTATGGTTTTCAAGACTAGTTTTGTTGGCACGTATCCTGCAACAATTTCTCGACCCGCGTCTGCCCCGATGTGCCCAACTGCGAGTAGCGTTTCCGGAACATTAACCACCTTTCCATCGGAGTTGGCCTTTCGAGGTTCCACCTCGATCAATGAACAGACCTCTAACTACTTTACAATGTTCAGCGATTCACTTCCCCACGACATCACCCTTTCCGGTTTCTCTGGTTTGGCGAACGCCTAACATTGACACCTTGTAGTTGTCCGAGTCCGCCGTCCCACGATATATATTTTTATTCAAGAGCTTGTTAACCATTCCATTCCATCGTATAATTCGTATCACGACATCCACATGATACTTCTCTCGCCTTCTTGTATTAGCTTCCGCACCCATTCGCAGGATACCGTAGATGCGCTCGCATACGTGTTTAGTACATGTATTTAACCTTCATCATTGTGGCGGGTGCCGATTTGCGCGGGGACGACGTGCAACATGAGCGTGGACGGACAATTACTCAGTTCAATGATGTGATTACAAGTGTGATTACGTGACTCGGTTCGAATATTGGACTTGGTGAGTAAAATCTGAATCGAGGGATTGAGATGCCATAGACCGTGGTGAGTTACCACTGTACTGCATAAGTTTAACCAACCAACATGCGAACTCGGAGGCACCGGTCCTCGTGGGATTCTCCTCATTGAAGAGGCCCTAGCCTCGGAGCATGTTATGCCTGCAACCCACAGAAACTCCGGGCACATCTGTGTTTGTTTGCGAAGTCCAACACAGAAACATTACCCCGCCCGGGCCGCCTGTTGACAGTCAAAACACTCAAAACACCTAAAAGGTATTCGGATACGGGGAATCGAACCCCGAGCTGCCGCGATCCGTACTGGCGGGAAACTGTAGCTGGAAACCCGGATTCCCCAGTTACAGTTCCCCCGGTGAGAGGCGGCAATGTTAGCCGTTACACCATATCCGACTGTTCTTTGTTTGTACTCAAGAACATACTAGAGTATATAGTACTTTTCGCCCCTATAATGCTCCGGAATGGTATTCTCGGTAAAGGCGCCACGGGTTCAGCGGCCCGAGGCGCAGTTCGAAGTGAACCCGAGGCCCCGAGAGTAACCAAGAGTCGAAGAGATTACATAATCGACAATCTTCACTGTCCTCTTGATTTCGGTCCTTCTTCTAAAAGATGACTTCAAAACGCAGAGCGCCCACGACAGATGATCTCTTACGAATGCAGGAAGAGCCCCACAAAAGACATAAGCAGTTGTCTCTCGCGCAAAGAGATGAAGACGAAGACAACGATACAGGCGAGGATGATGATCACTTCGGGTTGGAACCGGAAGACCGGGGAGTTGAGTCGGATGACAGCGAGTGGGAAAGCGGGGTCGACGAAAGTACAGACTCTGAAAACGGCAAGGGGAGCCCTCTCCTGGAACATGGTCGCATTGGTCGTTTGAATGAGAGCTCCAGTCTTCTCGGCTCTCGTGTGACTGTAAAGCCCCGGGTTGTCCGTCGACGTACCTTATCCCCTGGGGCTGGCAAGCCTGTGACATTCTCATCGCTGGGTATATCACCTCCGTTACTTTCTGCACTGTCGAGGATGGCCATTCATGCACCAACCGAGATCCAGCAGGCGTGTATGCCACCTCTTCTTGCAGGTCTATTGATTGGTTCTGGTATACTTGACGATCGCTGATGATGGCTATTTTTGAAGGTAGAGACTGTATAGGGAACGCAAAGACAGGTTCCGGAAAGACCATTGCGTTCGCGTTGCCTATCCTGCAGAAACTTTCTGTCGACCCTTACGGTATATTTGCACTTGTGCTAACTCCAACAAGGTACCGTCTTTTTCTTGTTATTTCCCCCAATTTTCTCGACGATCATAGAGAGCTTGCTTTTCAGATTGCAGAACAGTTGGTGGTACTCGGTTCACCACTCAATGCTCGAACTGCCGTCATTGTGGGCGGAATGGATATGATAGCACAGGCCATCGAACTCGACAATCGGCCGCACGTGGTGATCGCCACCCCGGGGCGGCTTGTAGATCATCTTCGAAATAGTAGAGCAGAGTGGGATTTATCAAGAGTTAAATATTTGGTATGCGCAACATTTTGCCCGAGCACGTTATGCCCTATTCACAGAATCTCAGGTTCTTGATGAAGCAGACAGACTCCTCGCTCCAAGTTTCGCAGACGATTTAGCTCATATATTTGGCGTTTTACCCAAGGACCGCCAAACAGCACTATTCACGGCGACTTGGACGCCATCGATAGACTCGATAGCCGATGCGGCGCCGAAACCCGGAAAGCAGAAGCCATTTATTCACAAGATAACATCGACGTAGGTGGCCTCTATGTTTTACGTTTTCCCTGAAGCTCAAGAAATTTCTCAAGAGTCGAGACTGTCGAAACCCTGAAACAGTATTACATGCTTGTCCCCTCTCATATCAGAGAAAGCTATCTCTTTTATCTCCTGTGCAATCCTCCAGAGTCAATAGCTCATCTTCGACGACAGGCACCTGAGCCTATTAAACGCTCTCGGGCAACTGTCCATAAGAAGGTCTCCGCAAAGAAAAAAGGAAGTGGTGCCGAATTCCTTCAACCACCACCAACAATTATATTCTGCGCAAAAGCCCGCACAGTCGCGTACATCACTGCCCTGTTGCAAACACTTGCTATACGTAGCACCGCCCTGCACTCGCGACTCACACAACGCGATCGGCTGACGTCTCTCTCACTCTTCCGTTCCTCGGTAATTCCGGTGCTTGTGTCTACGGACGTCGGCGCGCGGGGATTGGACATCGCAGAGGTCGCTATGATCGTGAACTGGGACTTACCAGATGAACCGGAAGTGTACACACACCGAGTAGGGCGAACTGCGCGCGCAGGACGTAGTGGCATAGCGTTCAGCTTCGTTTCAGAAAACGATGAGAATAGGATTTTGAAAATTGAGGAGCGTATTGGTGAGTAATATAAGCGTCTAAGAATGCCGTGTCACAGTACTGATGGCAGTAGCAACGCGACTGGCGGAAATGAACCTTCCCGAAGACAAAGTCCTCGAGAAGCTCAATAAGGTCTCCACTGCGAAGCGACAGGCCTATATGGTTAGTAAGCTGCATACTGTTAATTGTATAGATCCTAAAGTAGTTTTACAGGAGCTGTTTGACACGAAGTTTGGGCAAAGGGAAAAGATTAACAAGGCGAAGGCAGCCCGAAAGCATAGGTAGTATTTCTGGATAGCGCCCGAGAAATGAGATAAGACATGATTGCATGCATGATTCCCGGTGTGGAGCGGTTGACCTGTGAAGATATGGGATCCCATTTACGCCCAATGCTTTGGCTAGTTGGAGTGCCTCGGCCCCAAGGTACATGTACATGTCGAAGTGGCGTGAGAGGGGATGGTGCTACGGGACCCGTACGGAGAGACCGGGCCGAGTAACGGTTTACCCCACGGCTCTCCTTTTCTCGATCTCCACCTGCCTATTTATTAGCATTAGCTTGTCCACTCCCTCTGAAACTCTGTTTTGATCTTCCCTTTCCCCACCCCCTGCCACCCTCGATCCCACACCTGCAATTCTTCAGTTATACTGCAACATTTTGTACCCCACAAACGATGGATGCAAACGAATGGGACTCTATATTGCAGTTTGTGGCCGACGGACTCGCCCACGATTCTGCTCCTTCCGCTGATGAACCTCCATCTAGCGTCGTGCGACCTCCCCTGTCGAGGTCAGTGTCAGCAGCTCAAATACCTACTCCTCCTGTACGTGATCCTTTATCGTAGCGTCGCAAGACCCCCACTTCGCCATCCTAGACTTCCGTCCATGGAACGCCAGCGGAAGACGGGGAGCCAACGATGATCTCTGTCTCTACCACCTTCTTTCCTGGCGCAGAATTCGACGTCCTACCGACAGACCTCATCATCTTGACCTCTGACTCGGTATTCTTCTACGTTCACACGCAAAAACTACTCACTGCATCTACCAACGGGTTCAACTCGCTTCTTCCCCTGGAGGAACATGGCCAGCAAGAAGGAGCAGGAAACATTCTCCCCTTGCATCTTGACTCTGTCGTCCTCAACATCCTGCTGCATGCCATTTACAATGTGTCAGCAACGCACTATTCTCCGACTCCTGAAGCAGTCATTGCAGCGGTCGAATCCTTGGAGAAGTATGGTCTGTCTGTGCAGACATACTTGGCGCTAGCTTCTCCCCTCTACACGCTTTGCCTTGGCACAGCTCCTCAGGCACCCATTGAATTTTATGCCCTTTCTGGAGCATATGACCTACCTCACCTCGCAATTCCAGTTTCTAGCCTCTTGTTATCATACTCGCTCGCTTCACTTTCGAATGAGTTGGCCGTCAAAATGGGTCCGCTCTATCTCAAGCGGCTCTTCTTCCTGCACCTTGGCCGCGTAGAGGCTCTTAAGCGTCTGCTGCTGCCACCCCCGCAGCCGCATGTACCTACTGCTAATTGCGATTTCACTGAGCAGAAGAAGCTTACGAGGGCATGGGCGCTCGCCTCTGCTTATCTTGCGTGGGACGCGAGACCAGGTGAGCTACTGAATGGTCCTCACCACCTGGACACTTATTGACTCGACGCCCAATAGATCTGTCAACGCAGGCAATAGAGGTAGCACTGCGCCCATTATGCGATTACCTCGCTTGTGACCAGTGCAATCAGCTCTTACGCGAACGGATTAACAACTTGGTCGCGCAGTGGTCTATTGTTAAGGTATGTTGTTTTTGTGCTGCTATATACCTACTTATCACATTTTCCCACACCATTGATAGAGAACGGTCTAGTTGGTTTGGGCTCGTCGCTGGACTTTGCCAAAAAGCAGCACCTCTGATTCATTTTTATATTCTCTTCCAAGACCTTGTCAGCATCATACATTCACGGGCACGTGTATCATATTCTTTCGTATGTATTCATAGGCCTCAGACGTTCGTCTCCGATAAAGTTCTACACTGTTTTTGTCATATACGGTTCCCTCCGAACCAGCATCCGCAACTTTTCATTTCCTTTCTCAATGGCACCATACACGCATCGCATTTCCCGTCCTTTCCTTGCATCATCGTTTCTGTTTTTGTCGCATTCATTCACGTAGTGCATCCCCCTTTTCTCTCTCTGTTTTTCATGCATTTCTCCCCTGTTCACGCCACTTCCTCTCCCATGGAGAGTACATATAAAACAAACAGATAGCGGGTACATTATCTACAATCATGAGCCGAGCGATGAGAACACTGTTACAGGAGGCTCGGGCACAGTAGGCCAACTCAGAAGATGCTGCAGTGGATACAATCATAGGCCATAAATAGGTGGTTCCGAATAGTACATCAACCTAGAAGCTATGTGCGAGAGCTCGTGGAATCATCGGCACAATGGCTGTCCATGTAGAGTGCGACCGAGTTACCTCTCAGGCATACCCTCTGCAAATAAGACCTCGAGGATACTGTGGAACGGTTGCATGAAACCATTCTGTGAATCCAAAGATGTCAATCACGTGGGTCTTGCTGAGTACAGTACCTAGCATCCACTAGCTTCCCAAGTTGGTCGCTTGTATTCACGTGAGATATCGGGTAGGCTGTGCCAGTGGGAACTTCAGCAGTTTCGAAACTTTGATGAAACTACTGTAAGATCCGTTCCCTGCACTTGGAATGAGTCACCAAGTAACTTCTAGTGCCGCGTGATAAAGGGTAACTTTGTTTTCAAGCTTAATCAAGAAGCTGGTTGCCGCTGGTATTGAATGGTTGGCGTAGCACTGCATCGAATCTTATTGTTTACGGGATTGAGCACCACTCCCTAGATGGGGCCTAGATCCAACTACCTCCCGAACGCACTGCGCCAGTGCTACATCGGGATTTATGAGAAGGAGTCCGCGTCGAGAGCCGAGAGAGATGGTGGTATATGAGATAGGAAACAGGTGATTCAGGTCTGGTCTGAGAGAAATTAGGTGGGAAATCCACCA